ACAGATTTCGCGTTGACTACAACAGGCAAACGTTTTACCGTCAATCGGTTTTTTGGTATCAAAAACCCACAAAAACGATACTAACTACACAATATGTTAAATGAAGTAATTTACTACATATGTAGGAACTAGATTAAGGGCCGAATTCATAGTCGATCCTTAAGAAATAAGGAAATGCTTAAGCAATAAGGAGTTCCTCAAAATGAGAGGTCACTTAAGAAGGCTTATATTTCCTAAACGTTTCCTATGAGAGTAGAAATGAGTGTTTCTTTAGGAATTGGAAATGTTGCAACGTTGCATTTCCGTCAACTTCTGAGAACGACTATGAATTCAGTCCTTATCAATTGTTTCGTTACCAGGGCCCGGCAATAAGAGTTTTTCTGTCGCAAAATTGCCGATTTTTGCCGCACTATTAAAATACTTTATTTTTACTACGTACGTAGAAAGGCGAGGAAGTAATAAGAAGAGTGAACCATTTTGTGAACCATTTTGCTCTTCGCACCAATAGAGTAGGTGCGGGGAACCAGTTGCTCTCAGTGGCCCGAAGCGTCTTGATGGTGGTTCACTAAGGGAGCCTGGAAGACCCCACTCCTCGCTGCGCCGCGCTTTATCTCAAAACACGTGTGTGACAACGTGTTCTCTCGTACAGCCGCGTGGAGTCGAATGGCCTGAATCGACAGCTTGCACAGAGAGGGAAACGATGTCACGCAAGTGCAAGCGCACTCCATCTCCCTTCGTTTCGACGACTCGCGAACAGGTGGCATGCCGACACGCTTCCGACATACCCGACCCCACTGCTTCCGGGTGGGAGTTATAAGCCATTCTGCGACTTTTGCGATGCGCGTATCATTTTATATCCATTAGGCCATGGATCTGCATTTTGTACATTCTTCTTTTCATAAGAAATAAATCAGTAAAAAACCTGCGACATTACGTTAATTCTTAATGAATTTTCTATATTTCCTATGTTATTTATTTGTATTTTATTGTATTGTATGTATTTTAAAGGGATATACATACGGTTTTTAATGTAATTTTTGATATCCCTTTGAACAAATCTCTGAAGAAGAAGAAAAGGCGAAGGCAAAGACGAAGGCAGACATTGCCAATTCGTGGCTCAGAGCGAGAGTGGTTTGCCTTTCACCAAGGATGTCCGTGTTCCATTCCCGGACATGTTGCTACGACGAAACGGGTATGCATGCTTCACAAGGGCTAGTACAACCCCAGTGAAGTGTCCTTAACCCTACCATTTTCCTAAATCCTTCCCACTTCTGGCCGCTGGGTAGTGGCGCGGAGATGCTACCTGGCGGTCCTCTGGGCAACTGCCTACTCCATGCATTTGGTTGCCAATAACCCGTTTGTCCGCAATTAGTTACGCGAAGATACGACCTCTCTGATCCGTTTCCAGTCTACATCTAACCTCTCTATTTTCAATTAAAAAGTATTCTAAATTTATTTGATTTGATTTATTTACGTAAAAACAAAAAACAGAATTAATTGTATATGACGAATGGGGAACATGTATCATCTACAGAGTTTTTTGAGCTCCCTTCCCCATTCTTTTACTATAGATAGTTTAATGATGAACGCGAATAGTGCCAAAAAGCGAGGTTAGCAAGATTTGTTTACTAGAAGTTATCGTTCCCGAGTTATAATCTCAGTTCATAAGCGAACTACAGATTTGTTTTTTTAATATTGCTAACATAATAGCATCCCCGCTCTATTCCTTGCACCACTAGAGAAACGAGAGCTGACCAAAAGCGCATTGTGACAACAATTTTGTTCGCAAGCAAAGGAAAGCGCTCTCGTCGGGTGTTCAACGGCTGAGGAGCAGCCGAGGCTGCGCGTGCGCGGGAGGCACGTGAGGCCGCCCCGCCCCG